TTTTTCTCCAATGCAGTGTAGGAAATATTGATTGGAAATCCAGGATATACTAAATTTTTGATCAACGTATGCGCATCCTTGCCAACGAAATGTAGGAAATATGCAGTGAGTTTCTTATCATCCATATCGGATTTTGTGAGGCGCCATATATCGAACCGTTCCAAATACTCCTCTACGTCACGCGCAGTTGAATTAACATCTAATGGTTCCATTTCGGCAGGCATAATGAATCGTTCCATTCGCGACGCCAAAATGTGAGAATTGAGTTTCGTACGTATATCGGTACAACCCGACAAACTAGAAATCCAGAATTCAGCGAAGAGTGGCAACCAGCACGTATGTATTCGAATTGGCGAATATGTAGAGCATGTGGAATATTAAAACAAGAGAATAATGAATAAAGCAACGAATAGATTATCAGGTTCATCCATCACCGAATTATACCTGTTAAGCTGGACACCCCTGAAAGGAAGATATCAGGGATACGGCTAGCGTGTGGCCGCACCCGAAGTCGCTTTAACGAATAGATTATCAGTCATGTTCATCACCGAATTATACCTGTTAAGCTGGACACCCCTGAAAGGAAGATATCAGGGATACGGCTAGCGTGTGGCCGCACCCGGACGAAGTCGCTTTTGAGGGATTGACCGAAAACTACATGGAAATTCCTGTTAGGTGTGACGTATCCGAAACTCACTGGATATTCGACCAGTGCCTTCCGATAGGCCATTTGTCATAAAGACCTACATGGCTGGATATCCATTGGTCCGGTGGGAATTGAGACGAAGCATAGGGTTGTAATACATTTCATAACCGGGTATAGTCAGGGCATCCAGGAGCATTTGTAGCGGCTGTACAATTCGAAATTCGCTGACAATTCAGTGCCGAACACCAGTCTTGCTTTAGAGGGTTAAAGTGCACTAATGATGGCAGAGACTGGTGCAATCATAGTAAGCAGACACTACCAGCTACCACTCCAATGGGAGGATAATGCATTTTTTCCATCCGATAGCGTTCAGGTAGCCAGGATTCATTTAGATAACCTAAGAACTATCATGCTAGGATTGTGATTTACACGGATAGTGCGGTAAGATAATTCGCGCGTACCTGGATAAAAGGCATATTGAACGAGTGGCAAATGCCCCAGGATTGCCAGCAAATTCAAAGCAGTGTACCTCATATAGCATCCTGTCACCAACCCAAAAAACAGGGAAGATTCGGTTTGTATTCGACTACACTGCAAAATGTTATGGGCCCCTGAACGATCACCTGAATCAGGAGGCTGATTTAACCAAAAAACTGTAAGTGTTACGCTCGACTTCCGTTTGGAGCAAGTTGCTGTATCAGCAGACTTCAAAGAGATGTTCCCGCAGGCCTCGATTACTTCTGTGATAGAGGCGCTATAAAACTTCTGTGGTGGGAATCCTATGAATTCTTTAGAGAACCTACTAAATTTCAATGGAAATCCCAACTGTTTTGCGCAACCTCGTCACCTTTCTGTAAAACCTTCGCCTTACTATAGATGGTTGAATAATTTGGCTCAGGTTAGGCCATCGAAATAATCTACATTTTGATGACTGCTTAAATTAAGTATCGGGCTAAAAAACGGCCATAAGCCTCGTTAGCCAGACAAACGTTTTGCTCAAGAAAAGAGGATTGACTAGTCTACCAATTATCGCCGGGTATTTTCAGACATTGATCCAACCGAACTCACGCCAGGTATGCCAAACAACTACGGACCCCTCACCAACGGGGCATGCCAAAGGGGATACGGGCTCTGATGTACTTACGACCACTTTCAATTTACCGACAAAACCGCCAACGCGCAACGGGCTCCTTCCTGTGTTTCTTCGCTGTATTATCCTCCGGGATTCATTTCTCCTGGGTTAACATCAAGCAAATGTACGATCACGGTGCAAAATCATATATGGTTGATTTGACCCTTTAAACGATACCAAATGCACTATCTTGGACGATTGGTTGTCTAACCCTCTTAACTTCCATAACTTTTGAGGCTCTAAGTGCATAAATCCTGAAGAGTTATTGGAATTCCACGTACAGAACGTCGCGCACTTTGCAAGCACCAAAATCCGCACACAGCGTGCGGGTATATGTCGCTTTTGCGGCAAACACAGAGATTTCTGACTGCTTGCTTGTCTCCCTGCAGTTGCGGGTGGCTCCCTTTTAGTTCGCCCCAACAGCAAGTTAGGAGTCGACATCTTTGGGTCTGGTGGTCAAAGTAGAATATCTAATTACGGCAAGTAAAGCGGCTAATTTCAGCGTTCTGTGTTTTCGGCAGACCTCATATTTGTTCTCTACTGTGCTCATAGCATAACTTATAGATTTTGTACCTCTGTTGCAAAACCACTAATAGTTAATCGTGATATGTCGTTGCATACTCAGCAAAGACACGTAACGTCGAAGAACAATCCAACTGACAACGCCTCGCGAGGGATATTCAGTCCCAGTCTAATGCTTGGATGGTTAGCTGGACCAAGATTTTTACTTACACTCGAGAGAAAGTAGCCACTACAGCCTCGATAAATACAGCTCGGATGGATCGGATCGGATAGGTTTGTAGCGCATGTTAAGCGGCTCGAACGAAATGATGTCGTGCGTCTACGTATAGCTTGGTTTTTCTATTGGGTGAAGCTGCAGAAGACTGTAGCTTGATCAGTACTGTGTGACCAAAATCTATCGATTAAAGCAGGCAGAGTTTGGGAATGGGCTGTACCCTTTGGTGGGAGTGTACCTCGTGAAAAATTGCTTCCAGTGGTTGTAGATGGTTGTGGGGCGAGCACAGGTGGCTTGTTTAGAACGTCGGACGCCATCCTCGAAAATGATGTTGGAAAGGTATGATCACTGCGTCAAAGCTGAGGTGGATGCTTGTGGGGCGAGCACAGGTGGCTTGTTTAGAACGTCGGACGCCATCCTCGAAAATGATGTTGGAAAGGTATGATCACTGCGTCAAAGCTGGCAGAGGTGGATGCGGACAGTTCACGTCGGTGGCTGATAGGTTTTCTCAGGATAGAAATGAGCATAGGTAGACCGCAAGGTTCGGAGCGGCGCTCAGTCGAATTTGGGAATTTGGTGGGCAGCATAACGTCCATTACGTTGGCGGTTGAAATTTCGCACCTCGCTCCCGCCCCTATCTGTAACTCCTGCTCATTTTTGTGTTTAGTGCGTGCGTGCGAACTAGAATTCGTTCCTTTCTACCACTTCACCTATTTGGTTGGCACAGCGGGGAAGTGACAATGCATGTAACAAGCCTGATGTTGACGTATTTCTTTTTGCTGCATCTGCACAGAATTGTGCGAAACTGAAGGACCGGTGACAATTTGGGATTCGTTTCTTACTGGAGGTGTGCACGGAAAGAAACGTCAGTTGCTTTTCAATAGAAAAGCAACCCAAAATTGACCAGAGCAACGCCCATCATCCGAAAATTCTGGAGTCCCCACCAAGTTGTGAAGAGAAAAATGGAGACTGCCAACGTGGAAGGGGATGGAGTCCGAGTCCCTTGAACGTCTAAATTAGAGAAAACTGATCGTGCTGCAAAAAAAGGAAAACTTTGCAACAAACGAGGGTGAAGATGAAGGCGATACTGGGGAAAATGAGAGCGCATGGTCAGAAGATGCTGGGTTAGAAGACTTCAGAATTTAAGGGACACCGGTGGAAAAGCTGCAATAGAGAAAGAGTTCTACGCGCTCCAAAATAAACCAGGGCAGAAAACATCGTGGATAAAACTGAATAAGGGTTCGGAGGTTTTCTCCTCAAGGAATCAAGGGTTTCAGTGACAGATGTTTTCTCTTCCAAAATTTTGGAGGCCAAGACAGCGTTTTTGGGCATCATTGTTGAGGTAAAGCTCGATCGTGATAGCCAAATTCTCGAAGTTCTGGTATGGGTTGAGTCTGGTAAGGTTAGGCGCAATGAAGCTGCATCTATGTGCTAAACTCAGCGGTAAACTAGCAGCTCGCCTTCCCTAGACGCGCGCACCAAATTGAGGCTGGAGCATTTATGGCTAGAGAAGTTGTATAATACTCGTCGAATACCTTTCTTGCATGCGATGGATTAAGCATATAGGTCATGGAAAACCGACCTTTTATGGCTTATGTACAATTTCATACATCATTCTGTTGCCCCCGTTTTGCGTATATGCCAACTTTCTTTTTTTGAAAGGACTTTAAAATGTTCCTTGGTCCCGTCACCTCATGTACTGTTTGGAAGAAACACGGGAATTTCGCCCCATTGGATCACCTTATCTGGATTACGTGTGAATTTTTGTGGGCTTGATTTTTCTACATAGTTCTTAATGCATTAGCTTATTAGGAATGAGCAATTCGTAAACCGGAATAATCCCGGGATCTGAAGTTTTTACCATTTTATTATTTAGCCCTGAATTAAGAGTACCGCATTCGTTGATACACCTTTTTCGAGTGATTTGGCTTTTAAGATGTTGTGCGCAGCTCATTTCAACCTAGTTGATTGTTGGAGGAATTAAAACAACGCCAAGCTCTTCATCACTATATGCCTCAACCTTACTGTTTCCGTGAATGTTTTTGATAGTTCTAAGGGGATAACATTGGTTTCCTTGCAGAAAAATGGTACCCAATGCATCTCGATAGCTTTTGAGCCGGGGCTGGTTGCATGGTGATCCCGCCCACGAACCTGCCACGTCACAGCCCCCAAACTTTGTCTCTTTTCAGAATCACAACATCTATAAACCACCTGCCCCCACTGTTCTACACTTTCCGAAACCCCAGATAGTTCTATGGACGCCTCTAACGAGGGAGCACTCATTCTTTCTATTCGATCGGAAAGCTGAATTTTCACATCAATAAAAGACTGGCGGGCATTAATTCGCGGATGATAATTCCAAGCTCTTTCTGGGAGCGCAAACAAGCTGGACCCCAAAATACCCCAAATGAATTCAAGTGCTAATCCGCGGACGGCAAGTAAAACGAACAAGAACAACCTAAAACTAAGCTGGCGCTTCATCGGACCGTTACTCAGGTCGGAACATTCAATACAATGTTTGAGCCCTCTTTTTATCTGGCAAGCGTCGCTCACAGTGTCTTGTTATGTCTTAGTACACTGTACGCAAACTACGATGGTCACTACTATTCCTGCTAGCTTCCTAGCAATGGTTGTCTGGACTTACGACATAGAGAAATCCAGATTCACCTCTTCTGTCATACAGATTACGGAGAAATTTTTTCCCACTTGGTTATGCCTCCAAACT